GTATCGCGGCGAAACCTTTCTTTCTGTACATGGGTGTTGAGGGCCTGGTTCGACACGTTCATTTTTGGCCCAGAGCTTGCGCTTGCTGGGGCTGTAGCATGATCTGGCCACCTAGAGGGAGATAGATGGGCTGGGGCTGACCTTGCTGCTGGAGGCCGCCAGGGGGGAGGTGGCCAGGCTGCTGTTGCTGCTGCTGCTGGTGGTGGTGCTGGTCCTGCGGGTGCTGCTACTGCTGCTGCTGCTGCTGCTGCATCCTGAGCTCCAGGTTGCCGAGTCGGTCGTTTTGCTCTTTTAGCAGTACAGACATCTGCAGCAGTAGCTGGACAGGGTTGGTGAGGGGAGGTGGGCCTTCCAGCCCGGCTGGCGCGGCTCCCCCCGCGTTCTGGTCTCCTCCTCCTGCTGCCGGAGGCGCGGATTCACGATTATACCGAATCCTTCGTTTTGTGGAGGGACTGTGGGTACTAGAAGGGTTAACGTTACCACTGTAAGAACAGAACAGAGACGATGTGATTATGTCCCTTCTCTCTCTCTCTCTCGTGTTGCCGTGAGTTGACACACGTCTCATCATGACTGCCGACATCGGAATTATTGTCATGTAGGCTATGCTATGCGCACAGAGAGGCACGCCGCGCATGCATAAACCCAGACCCTCTTTTTCGCGCAACGGCATCAGGACGGTCTCATTCAAATCGTCTGGTGTCGGGTTCCTCGTGTCGGTCCGGGGGCTGCCGAGATGAATAGCCGACAGTACAAGAAGTCTTCCGTCAACGGAACATCCAATCAAGTTGACCGACCTAGCATCAAGAGCTGAGCTTTACCAAGATAAGATATCATCACCAGACAGAGCGATCCGACAAAACGAACAGAAACATTAACATCATCGGACAGCAACGGCAATAGACCACTTGTCAAAGCGACAGCAGTGTTACCTCCCATTCCTCCCTGATAAACACATGTCCTATGCATGAGAGCATATAGCAACTACTGCAACAATACATCGCTGGTGTCAAGACAACAAGAAAAGTCGCCGTTCCTTTGTACTCGCCACACCCGGCCTGGGCAGCAGGATATTATCATCCATCAGCACCCACCCGCACGTGAACTCGCAAGAATAAGCACTCCCTTCCTTAACAAGTACGGCCCAGGAGGCAAGGAGGAAAAACAGCATTCACGCGACGCGGCCGGCAACAACAACCACCACTTAACCCCCCTGCCTGTACCCCGCACCGGTCTTCTGGCGGTCAACAACAGCAGATACAGTCGTGTATCGTGTTTTCAGCTTACATCTACAGAGGAGACTCAAACCAGCGCCAGGCGGCGTAGCACGTGACTAAATGGCACTGAATGAAAGTGCGCACGGACCACTACGTGCAAGTCTATATACATCCGCCTGGACGTGGAAATCAAACACCTCGCTCAGCACTCAATGTTGTACATGATCCATACCAGTACACGCCACACTGCAGCAGCCAGCCTTTCAGAAAGCAAGGGCGCCAACATACCTCAGGGGTGACTGTCTATCACCACCGGTGGCGCGAAAGATACCAACTCCCGGCAGCCACGGAATTCAAGAATATCTGTACAACAATACAACGACTGGGGTATGGCGCAAGCTACAACTCCCCATTTCGTCACCCTCCCCGACCATCAATGCCGGATACAAACCATCACGACGCTGCTTGCCCCTCCCTTGAGGTCGTGGAAAACAGCGAGATCTAAATGCGGCAGTATCGTGACGAGGAATTGACACTTCGACAAGAGCCGACTCACCACCGATTCACACTGGGCACGAGTACACATATGCATACGCCCTGAACAAACAGATGCCTATTGAGCTCGTGGAGATAACCCTGGCGAAACAGATGTGCTCTTGAGCACGGAAAGAGTGTCTGCTTTCAGTCATCTACTACTCTCATGCGGAAGCTGTGGCAAAAACGACAAAAATAAAACGCTTCATACACGAACAAGTGCCAGTTGCGAGAGCTTACTCCGAGGGTCCGGCTCATGGAACCCAAACTCTAAACAAACAAGCTTGAACCCCCCCCCCCCCGCATCCCGAGGACGCGTGGTCCACGGTCTAACGGCAAAGGCATGCAAAACATGAGTAGGCCCCTCATGATTGTGACACCGCTCACAGCCCCCTCCCGCTTCAGCCCAGCAGCAACACTGGACCAACAACAGACACACTTAAGCAATGTGAGGAAAACATGCACACGAGGTATACTCCCTTCGTGCCGAAATACGCGCACTCGCCTGCTCACGCGATGGCTCTACTGTAGTAGACCATATAGAAAGTGGATGCGTGGATGTGCTCCTCTCGCAGCAAGAAGCAGCGACGGGGACTCAACTGGACTTGCTGACTTGCCAGCTGAAACTACCATGGCGGTGACTGGACTTGCCTTGACTTGGCTTGGCTTTGCTTTCGGGTTGGCTCGACGGACCCCTTTTCTCACCTCCAGAAAGCCAACTTAGCTGCGGGTCATTTTTGCGACAAGGACAGAGACCAATGCACAGAAAAGTAGGGCAGGCAACGTTTAGCGAGTGTGCGTGCGTGGATCATTACTGAGCCAGTGGGGGGGTAGGTGGGGGGGGGCGCGGAGGGTCACGAGAGACTTGCTTGGTACGAGTGGGATGTCGACCGTGCGTTCTACGGACCAAGTGTGCGACAGTGCTTCGTCCTTGCTGTGCTAGCCGTGGCGAGACAAAATCAACGGCGAGAGGTGGCATTGTCCCACGTGCGCTCGCTTGCAACAACATCCATCCAGTTGCCCTACACTTGAAGGTGGCGGAAGTAGTAATGAAGAAAACATAACGGACACCGGAACACAAAAGTAACATTGCGAAGCGGGGGCTACGGAAATCAAAACCACCGCGAGCAAGAAATCGGATCATCAACTAAAGTGGACAAGACAGATTCATATGGTACAAATATGAAACCCCGAAACACGACGACCGAAAGAGCAGGATACTCTCGCAACGCCACAAACGTCACGAATATCTTTTCCCATGAGGGCGTTGTCGTCGCCACTTTTGAATCGCAGCGGCAAACACGCACGAATAGAGACAAAGAGGCGAACAAACCGAGCCACGCACAAACGACCACAAGAGAACTAAATTTGTATCTCCACATCACTCACGGGGACACTCACATAACTCTTTCTGGACTTGGGCGGCGGGGGGCACAGTCATGCGCCTGGGGACGTCCTTGATGCGTACGGCGGGGGCCACGGACCAGTCCCGCCTTATCCGCCTCTTTGGCCCCTCAAACTCCCCGTCAATCTTGTCGACACGTCGAGTTTTCTGCGAAGACAGGGTTGCACAAACCGTTGAACGGGGGGATGATGGCGTTCGGGGCCGTGGGATCGGTACAATTACACGACGATTCCTAGGGAAAGCTGGTAGTTATTGCGTCCACGACTTGCGCATGGGCTCGGAAAAAAAAAAAAATAATAAAACGTTTGTTTTCGTCTGAAGGAGGCGGGGGCGAGCAACCAGTACATAGTTGACAATGCTGGTATCAAACTCGATCGAGTTGGGCGTCTGTTTTCGTGTGTGAAATATCCCCCCAAGGCGACGCTAAAGCCGGTTATAGGGGGAAGTGAAAGAAATGCAAAGTCGGAAGAGGATTGACTCCTCGTGTGGCATCCCTACTATACACACGACCATCACTAATAGCCCGCTCAGCATTCTTCCTCTGTTCGCGAGCCGTGGGGACATTTTAGTGGGCGTCGGTGTCGTTGTGATGTATCCGTACAGCCCTCGACTTGCTCGGGTAAGAAAGCCACCCGGTCTCGATCTAAATTTGCGTCATCACCCCTGAGAAAAAAGAAAGCACGGTACCTAAGAGCAAGTGATTACGAGAGAGAAGAAGAGGTAAGGCCCACTATAAAAGAACGATGGAGGGCAGAACGGAGGGCCCAAGCTACCATAGTGCGTTTTAAAGGTTCCTATTCGGACGTTTCGTACTTCTGTTGCATAGGATACGCTTAGAGGAGAGAACTACATAGACCAAGTACAGCTAGGGGTGGATGTCCCAAGAATGTAAACAGAACATTTGCGTGTTCGCCCGCTGTTTGTACGTTGCTCGACGACCGTCCTCGATTGCCTTGGTACCCAAAAGCGGTCAACATGCAAGGCAAATCAGCGGGCAAAACAATTGCTTCGAAGACTATCATCCCGCTCGTTTGCCATCGCCGGCAAGTGTCTAGCCGTACCGAACGGTTTCCCCTCTAAAACTCTGCAAGATCCAACAACCACAACAACGCATACATGGTCGAGGATGAACAGGGGGCGGTCGCGGGGCCGCGGGTTTTCGCAGTTGTCCGTTCCCAAGCCGAAGAGCCGCCTCACTGGTTGGTGTACAGACAAGACAAAGCGCGCGTATTTGTGTAGCTGTCAGCTTTCATTGGTCTGCAAGCGGAGCAAATGGCGTATAGGGTGTGCAGCCCAAGAGACAGAGGGGTGTGTGTGGGGGGGTACTCATGGTCGTGCATGCCGGAGTCCTTAGACCATTGACCTCGCATCCCTACAAAGCCGGGACGGAGCACGCAAGGTTCTCACCGGACCAGGTTCTCACATCACCAAGTGCGAAGCGCCGTGAGGTACTCGGCGAGTCGCATGAAGGGTGCGCTGCATGCTGCCAATGGTGTTCGGCATCTTGTGCTTACTTTCCTTGCATACGGATGACAGCTGCGAATGACTTATTTTGTTCTCTGGTGCTTTTACTTTCAGAGGCAGGTACGAGCATTGTGTAACTGCCTCGAGGGTGCCTGACCATTTTAACATAACGTGGTGCGATCATCCCCTTTGCGCGGAGTGAAGGTTCTCGACCCTGCACAACATAATCTACTCGACCACCATCATGGTTACCGCATAAAAAAAGAGGCAGAAAAATCGCACAAAAATGTCTGTCGAGCTCACGAATCGATCGACGTGTTTTACAACGTCGCTGCAAAGCGACGAAAACATGGCTCTCGGGGAGGGGGGTAGACAGAGGGGGGGTGCACAGGAAAATTAACCTCATAAAAGTCTCTAGGCGGGGGNTCCAAAAAAAAAAAAACGGAGGTAAAAAATAACAACCGGTAACCTGGTTGCCGAGCTCACGAAGTGAATTGGCTTGTTTTACAACGTCGTTGCCAAGCGACGAAAACCCAATCCCGATGGCAAACACCGGGGGGGTGTGTGGTTGGGAGACAACGTGTGTGCGTGAGAAACAACTATCATTGGTCACCCAGTCAACCCGGTCGAATGCAATAAAATAGCAACTACAAAGTCACGCACGCTCCCCCACTTCACGATATTTACCATTGCTCAACCGTCTACAATGTAGTACAATACCACTGCAGAAGTTTCCCGAAGACTCACACACACAGCAATAGCAGCAGCAGATGGTGCTTAAAACACAGCACACGCACAAAAAAAAGGATTACCCTTTCCGGGGAGGGGGTAGCTGGCGTGCTTGCCGAGGCTGACGTACACCCTCGGCCGCCCCGCCTCGTCGAGGATCTCCTTGACGTCATCCTTGTTCCGGATCCACATGTGCTCGTGGCCGCTGTGCGGGCCGTAGAACACTCCCGAAACGTTTTGCTGCTCGGGGGTTGAGGGGCGAGATGGGTTGTTGTTGTTGCTGTGTGGTGGACAGAATACACAGGCTATAAGCCAGTTTTGTGAGTATCGCCTCGCACTGCTGGGGATACTAGGCTCTTGGGGGGGGGGGGGGG